GAGAAACATCCATCAGCTGCCTCCTGCACATCTCCCACTGGGGATGTGCCCTTGACCGGAATCGAACCTGGGACCTTTCAGTCCACAGGGCGACGCTCTGTCCACTGAGCCAAACCGGTCTCGGCACCTGAGGGTCTTTTCACTCCCAGTAAGAAATGTTCTCCCAGATCTGACTCCTCACCATTCAGGTTTTGGGTTTAACATCAGCCCTAATTAACCTATCCAAAATAGCTCCTCCTTCCCCCGATACATCACATTTTGATTTATTTTATGGCACTTATCAATAATTTATTTGATTTGTCTCCCCCATTTAAATGTAAACTCCATGACAACAGGAAATCTCTTGTTCATCTTTATCCTAGAACTAGAATGATGACTGGTACACTTAAGGCACTTAAATGAAAAGGAAAAAAATTATCAAGTTCAAATCCCATCCAAATGTAAAAACCTAGCCACAATCCCCAGAGAAAACAGGATTTCAAAGAATAAAAAGAGCTGGGTCCCATAAGTGGATACTTTTATGTTCCTAACAGCCCATCTTTTGAAAAATCTTTCACTAATTTGAGAAAATCCCAGATTATGAGTTCTGCCTCCCTGTTGTAGACAAAAGAACTCAAATTCCCAGAACTCTTGCTGCTAGTATGTAGGCATGTCTTTGGGCTCTACCTACCAGACACATCCTCATAAGACTCAGAAAAGAGCAATCTATGTAATAAAAGCCTACGCGACCATTACAGCAGAACGACCACAACGACCGGTCGCTATGATGCACACTGACAACCAGGGGGCAGACGTTCAATGCAGGAGCTGCGCCCTAGTGGTCAGTGCACTCTCACAGGGGGAGTGCCACTCAGTCAGAAGCCAGGCTCACGGCTGGCAAGCAGTGAGCAGGTGGGCGGTAAGGAGCGAGGGCTCCTGGACGGCGAGAGGGATGTTCAACTGCCAGCTGAAGTCCTATCCCCGTGGGGAGCGGGCTTAACGTGGCAGGCGGACATCCCCCAAGGGGTCCTCGACTGCGAGATGGTGCAGGCCGGGCTGAGGGATCTCCCCACTCCCAGTGCATGAATTTTGTGCACCGGGCTTCTAGTACAGTATAAAGCCACTCTGCTTCCTGCCCCCTGGGCTGGATGGTGTTGGGCTTTGTGGGAGAGGAGTGGGGTCAGGTCAAGTGAGATTGGTGATGCTCTGCTGGAAGTTTCCTCTAGTGCTACATGGGACAGCAGAGCATAAGACAGCATTCTCAGGCCAGTTCTGTGCATGGTTTTGGGCATGGCTCCTGGAAGTACAGCCGTGGGTCTGTCTCCAATGACTATCAGGTTTGCAGGAACTACCAAAACTGACTAACTTTAAGACATCAGTTTCTATCTCTGCTCACTTGATTTTTTCCTGATATGTATCAGAATCAGCTTTGGTCCTGGAATAAGAGGTTAAGACACAGGCCCAGAGATCTTTGTTTTCTTCTCCTCATCTCTCATTTATTTCCACAACTCCTTGGGAGAAGCAGTTATAAGAAACCTGCTCCATCTTTATAACATAAAATGGCCTATTATACTTTAACCCCTTATTCAAAAAATGAGCTTCAATGTTTCAGTTAAACAGTGATGACTATCCTCATTTTGAATTTGACTGTTAAATGCCATCCTTTTTTATAATAAAACAAGAGTCCCTATCAGAGGTTGCAAACTGATAAATAAATCTGACACACAGAGGGTTTTGTCTGCCTGCAATGCTTTTTCATTTTTTAAAACATTTGTAGCCAGAGATAGATTTCATATTCATGACTATGAACTCTGATTATAGGTAGGCTTATATGCCAGAGTCAGTTGGAGAGTAGGGGCCCCCTTTGACAAAGCATTTCCTCTTCAATTTGCCACTAATATATACTCACATGCCAAATGTTCACTTTTAGTTTCGTTGTAGATATTGGAAATTGGGCAGAGTACCTGCCATTTCATGGAATTGTTCTTTAAAAAACAGAACCACCTACATTTTGCACTACTATAAAATGCTGGAATAAAACAAACTAAATCAAGATAGAAAAGGCAAGTTAAAGGGGAAAGGGGGGAATTCTTTGGTGAGTGCAAAGTTTTAGTCATGCAGGAGTGGGAGGATTCTGGGATCTGCTGAAAGCATGTGCAGGTGGTTGACAATACTATTGGAAACTGCTGCGAGGGTTATTTTTATAATTTTTTCTACAATAAAAATATCAATATTCACTATATCAACAGGAGAAAAATGTTAAGAAACATAATCTTAATAAATGCATTTGATAAATTCAGTCAAAACTCTTAGCAAAGTATAAACAGAAAAAATGTCATTAATTTGATAAAGGGTATTTATAGTAAAGCAATAATAAGCAATACTGATCAAATCATCAGTCTTTCACCTGAGCCTGAGATAAGAATGTTCACTATTCCACCTTAACTCAGTATTGTATTTGGGGTCCTGACCATACAGTGAAGCCAACAATAAAAATAACAGACTGGATGGGAAAGGGTAGAGGTTTGGAACTTGGACCTGAAGAATCCAAAGCAAGCCAAACGATAGTATACAGTTTATAAAATGTTATATGTACAACATAGGGTGGGCCCTGAAGCTAACTTTACGAAAAAAATCAGCAGCTTATAAGAGAAACTGACATACTACGAACGCGGTTTCCTTTTTCTTGCTAACCTGTAAATACTTCACTTTTATATGAATTCAAAATATTTAATGATCACTTTCCAGATAATTAAGACAATTTTCACCTTAACACTTAGTTCTGTAGGATATATTCTATCATTTGAAGTAGAAATAAGACCCAAAGAATGCCTTTCATAAACAATAAACTGATCTTATGTATATCATCTGCAATCAATTCCGTAGGACTAAGTTTACAACAACTTAATTCCAGGCCTAAAATAGATCATTTAGAGAATCTTTTGGGGGAGGTGGGAAAAAAGAAAGACAGGCAAATGATCTGCAAATTAAAACACAAAATCCTGTCACTTACAATATACCTCACCTGTCCCCTCCAAGTATTAAAAACACAAGACAGTTCTCAGAAAGTTTTATAGATCCTCAACAACTGTATCATTCAATAAATTACCATTAAAAATCCCCTTATAAAAAGAAATCTTTGTATTCACAGATGCAGAATCCAGTCTTTGTACATTACTGAGAAAAATGGAAATAAACGTATCTTTAAGGTTAACATGGCAACGCACATTTTCCTCAGGTCAGACTATGTGTATATATATATATATTTCAGCCACCTCAGTACTGCGGAAATGTTTCGTCGATCTTGGCAGCCCAGGCCATGAGCCCCCCCACCACATCCTGAACTGCTAGCGAGCATAACTCTGGGATTGCTGTCAAGGACTGCAGGATCCTCACGGCTTTCTGGGAGTCGTTGCCCAGTTTGCAAATCACATAGATGGGGAGAGCTGCTCCTTCCTGCGCGCCGCGCTTCCCTTCCTGGATTGCTTCTCCCAAGAGTTTCAGGCTCTTCCCATCCCTCCGTTCCAAATGCTTCAAAGGGATGTGCAGAGCATGAGGCAAACGACAGATGTCCACCTCCACTTGAGGCCTGACGTCCAGCAACAGGTGGGGTGACCCAGCATCCAGAAGGCGCTTATAGTCGCTGACCGAAACGCGCTCCTCCGGGCTCAGCAACCGAAGGGAGCGGCATTTATCCGTGGCCGAGGAGCCACAGAAGGCTTCATAGTCCTGCAGGTCGGTCACCGTGGGCCGCTCTCCGCAAGCTGCACAATCCGGCCTGCGGCTCCGCAGCCGAATGCAGCGGAAATGTCCTCCGAGAGCGTCGAAGAGCAACAGGCTGCCACTGTAAGAGGGGCCCATACCTGCGGCGATCTTCAACACTTCCAGCGCCTGCAGGCAGCCCAGGATCCCCGTGACAACACCGAGCACCCCGCCATCCGCGCAGCTGGTCACCGTCTCCGCGGGAGGCGGCTGGGGGAACAGGCAGCGGTAGCAAGGCCCGCCGTCGTAGTGGTAGACGGTGATTTGGCCCTCAAAGCGCAGGGCGCTGGCGGATACGAGAGGCCGGCCAGCCAGCACACACGCGTCGCTCACCAGGTAGCGAGTGGGCACGTTGTCGGAGCAGTCAGCCACCACGTCGTAACGGCGCACGAGGTCTAGGGCCGTGGCTGGAGTGAGAGCCTGAGCGTAAGGCACGCACTCCACGGCTGAGTTGAGCCGGCGCAGCGAGGCGGCAGCCGAGAAGACCTTGGCCTGGCCGGCCAGGGCCTCGCCATGCAGCACCTGGCGGGCCAGGTTGCTCATTTCGACGACGTCGTAGTCCACAAGACCAAGGCGGCCCACGCCGGCCGCGGCAAGGTACTGCGCCAGTGGGCAGCCGAGCCCACCGCAGCCCACGACGAGCACGGACGCGGTCGCCAGCCGCAGCTGGCCGTGCACCCCGAGCTCAGGCAGCACGAGCTGCCGGCTGTAGCGCAGGATCTCATCTCGGGACAGGGCGGCCTTCGGCGGCAGGGGCGACACCGGAACCCGCGGCGCTGGCTCGTCCTCCGCCAAAAGAGCCGCCGCCAGTCTCTGCTTCAGGGAACTCAGCTCCTCCTCACGCCGGGTAACTTCAGCCTGCAAGGCAAGAACCTCCTCCCTGGCAGCCATGGCAGCTGCTTCCGGAAGTTATCTTGAGGGAATTTCCGTTTCCGGCTTGTCGTCTCCTAGAGACCGGAATAAACTAAAAAACTTTACGGAACTTTAGAAGAGGTGATAAATAGGTACGTGTTTCCTGAAACAACCTTCAGATTCCGTTTTATTTTTTTTAAGTATATTTTATTGATTTTTTACAGAGAAGAAGGTAGAGAGATAGAGAGTTAGAAACATCGATCAGCTGCCTCCTGCACATCTCCCACTGGGGATATGCCCGCAACCCAGGCACATGCCCTTGACCGGAATCGAACCTGGGACCTTTCAGTCCGCAGGCCGACGCTCTATCCACTGAGCCAAACCGGTTTTGGCCAGATTCCGTTTTAAAGATTCATCAGCTCTGACTCTTTAGGAGAACTAGCACTCATCCACACAGGCCCCCCCGCCTCTGCCCGCATTTGGCGCGGCCCGACTCTGCCGTGTCCGCGCCGCGCTTACGTCATTCCGCTTCCGGCGTCTCGCGGAGTTCCGCCATGGCCTCCAAGACAGCGAACCGTACCCCTCCGAGGTCTCGTCGGGAGCCGGCGGGGCGCCCCCCGGGACGGGACAAGTACTCGGTGCTGTTGCCCACCTACAACGAGCGCCAGAACCTGCCGCTCATCGTGTGGCTGCTGGTGAAAAGCTTCTCCGAGAGGTAGCGTGCGCGGCCCTCTCCCGGAGGAGATGAGCTGGCTCCCCTGGCTGGTGGCCGGCAGTTGGCTGCGCGAGGCGGCCCTGCTCTCTGCGGCTGGGGAGGGAAGTGTCGGGGAGGAGGCCACCCTGCGAGGGATGCAAGGCGGAGACCTCTGGGGATCTGAACCTGTCTCGGATTCTCCTTCCTGCCCTTGGGTTTTGTGAGACACTCCCTTATCTCTACTGTTTACACTCCCGGGTCCCGTCCCGCCCCGCGCCGCCCCCCAATCCCCTTTTCTCTCAAGCGCTGGCCCCTCTCGGCGGGCGCGAGGCTGCCAGCCTGGCCTCGCTCCTCGCTCCGGGACCGGGAGCCTGGGTGGCCAGGCTGTGCGGCGGGAGCCGGGCGTCTCGGCGAGCAGCCTCGCCCGCCCCGTGCCCGGGGCTTACGTAAGCGTGAGGTTTGTGTCGCGGGCAGGGAGCTGCGCGGGGCTGCACAGCCTTTCTGGACAGAGCACAAGGGCGGCTGCGCCGGCCGCCGGCGGGTGTTGGCTGTGGCCCGTAGAACCTGGGCCTGAAAGTGTTTATACAGATTTTCTTAAACTTCGGAAAATCCTGGTGTCAGGACAGTAACGTCCATTTGTGTTACACTGATGGGACCATGTTGCAGAAATCTTTGAAGACCTTTTTCCATATCAGCACACACACAGCAAATTATTTTGAAAATTAAATAATATTCCATGTGGCTGTGTTATATTTTCTTTAACCGGGTCATGTCAACGAACAGATTATTATTATCTTTTTAATATATACATATATATATATTATTGATTTTTTTTACAGAGAGGAAGGGAAAGGGATAGAGAGTTAGAAACATCGACGAGAGAGAAACATCCATCAGCTGCCTCCTGCACATCCCCCACTGGGGATGTGCCCGCAACCAAGGTACATGCCCTTGACCAGAATCAAACCTGGGACCCTTGAGTCCGCAGGCCGATGCTCTATCCACGAGCCAAACCGGTTAGGGCAAACACAGTTTATTTTTTAAAAATACATATATTTTTTTTACATTTCCGTTACATTTACAAATGAGAACAGGGACGTGTTCACGCCACATTTTCCAGCATTTTGAAAAGTGACACATAGTGAGTGCTCCTTTGTTAAGATTAACGTTGCAACAAACACTCATACTTTTGCTGGTACATCAGGATAAAGTCTTTGCGGTGATATTGCTGGATCAATAGAGATGTGCTTAAAATTGATAGTTATTGACAAATTACTGTCAAAAGAGATTGTACTGGCTCAGGACTCTTGCAGCATTTTCAGAGAGTGCCTGTTCTCCCGCAGCCAGTCAACCTGAGTATTGTTACTTCGTTGGAAATGCTCTTTGGTGAAAAGCATTGCTGGGTGTGTTTGTTTTTTTTTCCAGCTGCACGATCGTTTATTTTTTAAATTTTATTTTAAATTACAGTTTACATTTAATATTTTGTATTAGTTTCAGGTGTACCCCATAGCGGTTAAACAATCATAAACATTGCCATTTTAATTATTTTTCTTTGAATGAGATAACTATCTTCACATACATAGTTCTTCAGATTTTTAATTCATCTCTTTTTCCTCTTTTTAAATTATATTTTTATTTTGATTTCTACAAGCTCTTTTCAATTTAGAGAATTATCTTGTTCCTGTTTGACTTCTGATTGTACAATATTTTTGCTTTATTTTTAAATACTTTATGTAGTGCAGTTTATATTTTAATAGTCTCTGAATGGATTTTTTTTAAAAATATGTTTTGTTGATTTTCTACAGAGAGGAAGGGAGATGGATAGAGAGTTAGAAACATCGATGAGAGAGAAACATCGATCAGCTGCCTCCTGCACACCCCCTACTGGGTATGTGCCCGCAACCAAGGTACATGCCCTTGACCGGAATCAAACCTGGGACCCTGAGTTCGCAGGCCGACGCTCTATCCACTGAGTCAAACCAGCCAGGGCTCTGAATGGATTTATTTAATCAAAATGAAATTTAGCCCTGGCCAGTGTGGTTCAGTTGGTTGAGCATCATCCCATGCACCAGAAGGTCCTCGGTTCGATTCCTGGTCTGGGCACATGCCCGGGTTTCATTGAAACATCAATGTGGGAGAAACATCCCTGGTAGGAGTGTGCAAAGGGCAGCCAAATCAATGAAAACATTTTTTAAGAATGAAGTTTAATGAAGGAAACAACTTGTCAGATTCAGTCACATTAACTAATATCTGCTCAGCTTGATTCCTTTCAGCTACCTCACCCTCAGGTGCTATGGGTGCTTTGAAGTGGGCTGGAGAAGTGCCTTTGCTTTGAAGTGTGTATCTTTCAGCTCATCAGCTAGAATCAACATTGTACTTGTTTGAGCTTGTAAGCACATGCCCGAGTTTAAGCACATTGGGAAGCTGAAGTCATACTTTTTACTCCTGGAGAATTGATAAGGCTGAGTTTTCTTTCTGGCAAGTTTGCTGGGGCTGAATTTCTTAAACTTTTAAGAGTGGAATGTGTTTTTTGGTTGACTTCTTTGCATGTTACCAAGAAGAAACAGAATGTTGTGTGTGAAAGTTTGGCGTTGCCTCCTTTTCTTTCCCCTTAAGTTTCCAATAAAGTTAACAAAAAGAATGTTTTTTACAGGGGGTAGTGTCAGGCATGATAGTGCTCTCACGTACATCCAAGTATTATGCTGGCTTGTTTTTAGAATAGAAACTATCCCATAAAGACAATCAGGAGCAGCAGAAAGATGTGAATTTTGAAGGATATTGAAAATTTTTTTTTGTTAATCCTCCCCTGAGGATATTGCTTTTCATTGCTTTTCAGAGAGAATGGAAGGGAAGGAGGGAGGTGGGAGAGAAAGGGACATCAGTGTGGGAAAGACACATTGACTGGTTGCCTCCTGCACACACACCAACTGGGGTAGGGATCAAACATGAGACCCTTCTGTATGTGGGCCAACGCTCTAACCCCTGAGCACGTCGGCCAGGGCGGATTTTGAAATATTTTGTTATTCTGTGCTATTTCCTTTTATTTGCTAGTGTAGGATAATGTGTACAACTATTGAAATAGAGGTGTAAAATATTATGTTGCCATTCTGAAGTAGGTTTTTTAAAGGGTGAAATTAAGTTGGATTTATTCCTGATTATGTTATTAAAATCGTTTGGGATTAAATTTTAAATAATCACCCAGAGCTATGCAATCAATTTGAGCTATCTATTAAATATACTTTTGAAATAGTTAATAAACTATTTGATATTAAGGTTTCACAATTCTATTGCCAAAGTAAATAAAACTTCATATGATATACTATCACATATAATATATATATATATATATATATAAATCACTGGCTTTTTAAAAGAAATATGTGGGTTTTTTAGAGAGATTAGAAACATCAATGAAAGAGAAATATCAGTAGGCTGCCTCCCACACGTCCCCCACTGGGGATTGAGCCTGAAACCTGGGCATGTGCCCCTACCAGAAATCAAACCCATGACATCTTGGTGCATGGGTCAACACTCAACCGTTGAGCCACACTTGCTGAGCTCACTGTTTTGTTTTTTTTAATGTTTTCTGTGAGAGAATTTTTTAACATCGTAGGACTTTATAATAACAGTTTTCAGCAACATGTTGAGTTTGGAGGTGAAGTACTGAATATTTGACATTTCATTTGATAATTGAAGTTTTCCTTAGTGATTACTATGACAATAAATTTCCACTACTGGTTAAGAATTAGTAATTTTAAAATTATTACTTTTGTTATAATACTATATTCAAACAATACAAATTTAATTTTCTTATTTTAGTGGAATCGACTATGAAATTATAATCATAGATGATGGGAGCCCAGATGGAACAAGGGAGGTTGCTGAACAGTTGGAGAAGATCTATGGATCAGACAAAATTGTAAGTTATGTGAATATTTTTCTATCTTTTCAGTTGTGTTTTTGTAGGGGAAAGATGAGAGATGAACAGTGTTTAAATTCAATCTGTCTAGAAACTGAAAAGGTAAGAAACACTTTTTGGCATTTAGATGCATTTTCATTGTGTTTGAAGTTTTACATCTTATTTTTATTTTGATATATTTTATTGATTTTTTTTTTTTTTACAGAGAGGAAGGGAGGGGGATAGAGAGTTAGAATCATCGATGAGAGAGAAACACTGATCAGCTGCCTCCTGCACACCCCCTACTGGGAATGTGCCCGCAACCAAGGTACATGCCCTTGACCGGAATCGAACCTGGGACCCTTCAGTCTGCAGGCCGACGCTCTATCCACTGAGCCAAACCAGTCAGGGTGAAGTTTTACATCTTTTTGATATGTTGATCAGTAGTTTTACAGCAAAATAGTGAGTCTTTGGATGAACTCTGTTTTTATGACTGATTCTGTAAATAAGTTTTCTTGAAGGAGAAAATTAAAGCACGATATTGAATTGACAAGGAATATTATAGAACAAGGTTGCAGTTGGTAATGTGGGACTTGATCTTTCTTGCTCTCTTTCTCTAGGTGTTCTCATACTTTCAAAAGGAAATACTGCCTGCAGCTAAAAGTTTATAACTGAGAAAGGTGACTATTTTCATCTGAAACTGAAATGGCTTTTCAGAGTACTTGGCATTTTTATTTTTATTTTTATCTGTAGAACAGTCTTGTGGGAGTAGGTTGACCTTCTGAGTCTTAAACTTTAGATTTTTCTACTGTACCTTGAAGCCTGCTCTTCTGTGGGAGTAACTTAGGCAGATGTAGAGTTCATTTTATAATGGCCTCATAAATTTTATTTTTGGTCACTGGTTTGGATTTAGAAAATACATTATAGGCATTGGGTATTGTAAGAGTTTCTCCATCTTGGCACTGTTGTCATCTGGGACCAATAAGTCTTTGCTGTGAGAGGCTGTCCTGTATGTTGTGGGATGTTTAACATCATTCCTGGTCTCTAGCCACTAGATACCAGTAGCTACCCCCCTTCCCAATGTGGTAACCAAAAATGTCTCGGGATATTGTCAGATGTCCCTTTATGGGCAAAATTGCCCCCTCTTCTCAACAAAGAACCATTGGCATAAACATAAGTCTCTTGGAAAGCCTTTATTGATTATTTACATTTCAAGAAATGGCCATCGACATCATAAAAATAGTCACTGGATCCAAATATTCTTGACTAATCTAAATAATGAAATAATTTCTATTTAGTTGGAGGAGATCTTTGTTGGTGGGAAGAGTTTAAGGGAGATGTGTTACTCTTATATACCTGGTAATCTTTCCTATACTAGAAATTCTTTCTGTCTGTCTCACAGAGCAACTCACAGATCTGTCACTTTCCAGTCCTCGCTGAATATCTCCTGTTGCATAGGAGTACAGAAAGTTGACAGGTCTTGAGCCTCTAGCAGTGACTTCCAGTGATGATGGTAGGTTCACAGGAACAAGAGTTCCCTTGCTTCTCTTTCAGAAGTTCTGGGCCATGGCCACTGATGCACACATTATATATAGAACACTCTGAGTTATGTGTTGCTATTTAATCTGGGGACATCAACCTGGCAATATTTTGAATACATATGTCATAGAAGCTCAGCCTTGAGGTCTAACTGATTGATTGATTTTAGGGATTGCCTACTAAATTGACATTCACAAATTTTAAAACAACATTATTCCTCAGAGCATTCCATTTTTTCCCATCAACAAAATAAAATTAAAGTTCATAAGAAAATTAGCCTCTATTATCACAATTTCCATGTTGTACCAGGGAAATTCCCTGTTCATTATTTTATGACCTTTAAATTATTTAAACTAGAACATTTTTTTTTTTCAGTGTCAGGCCTTGCCAGGGGTGGCACTTACTTTTAAGTGATGTATGAATGTTTAGTTGAGGGGAAAGATGGATAAAAATGGTTATTTTTCTCAGATAAAGTGATTCAGCCCAGATGCTTTGTCCAAGCTAGCCTTTTGGACTAGTTGAAATGAATGCTTCAGGAGAAAGCTGAGGAAGATTTTTTTTTAACTCTGTAGTTGAAGAAACAGACGAGGGTTAATTCACTTCCCAAGATTGCACAGCTAACGAATAAATGGCAGAGATGGGATGGTAGAAAAGTTGGAGACACGTGTCCTGAACTGTTACAGGGCAGGGAGATCTGACATTGTGGAGGACTTCAACCTTTCTGTGTTTGAATGCTTCTGTCATGTTTGATACGTGAGCTTTGTTTCCTCCCCTAACCTGAAATCAGATAAAAATCTGTGGCAGGCCTGGCTGGTTTGGCTCAGTGGATAGAGCGTCGGCCTGTGGACTGAAGGGTCCCAGGTTCGATTCCGGTCAAGGGCATGTACCTTGGTTGCGGGCATATCCCCAGTGGGGAGTGTGCAGAAGGCAGCGGGGAGTATGCAGAAAGCAGCTGATCGATGTTTCTCTCTCATCGATGTTTCTAACTCTCAATCCCTCTCCCTTCCTCTCTGTAAGAAATCAATGAAATATATTTTTTTAAAAATCTGTGGCAGATCAATCAGCCCAGCAGTTTTGTGCACATTGTTCTCTGCTACTATAACTCAGGTACTAATGATTGAAAAGACAAAGGGAAAAGAATGCAGTAGCACCAGGGGCCGTACTGGTGGTTGATACTGCCACCAGTTTGAGAGTCATCTTGCTGGTCTTCCTGGCCGTTACTAACAGTATTTATGGTTACATTTTATGGAACACAGATCATCATTGACTAGAAGGCTTTGATATGCTGCTTAAGGACAGTGAGGTTGGTCAAAGGCCACAGCAAGAAAGAACAAAAAGATGGAGATGGTTTTTCACATTACTTTTAAAACATGAAACATAACTATAGGACCAAGAGATTTGACTAATATAATAAAATATTTTGTTAATCCCAAATACCAAATTATCTCTAACAAAAAGATCAGTGCCCCAATCAAATGTACAAAAATGGATAATTCATGAAACAAGAACTACACATGGCAAATAATGGGAAAAATGAGCCTCAATGAGTAAAGAATTGCAAAGTAGGAGGAGAGTACAGTTAACCTTTCGTAGCTGAAGCTGTATTTTTTTTTTAAATATATTTTATTGATTTTTTACAGAGAGGAAGGGAGAGAGCCAGAGAGTTAGAAACATCGATGAGAGAGAAACATCGATCAGCTGCCTCCTGCACATCCCCCACTGGGGAAGCGCCCGCAACCCAGGTACATGCCCTTGACCGGAATCGAACCTGGGACCCTCCAGTCCGCAGGCCGACGCTCTATCTGCTGAGCCAAACCGGCTTTGGCTGAAGCTGTATTTTTATTTTTTCTCTTCAACCCATTGATTTCAAGAGTATGGTAACAGGTTCACTCAAATACTTTTGATTCTAGTACAAATTGATAGTGTGTCTGAAGTGTCATCAAGATTTTCTATGATAAAACTTTTACAAAATGGGTTTTTTGTCAAGCAGATTATAGTCTCACATGAAATAGTTCATAAGCAGTTGTGTTGTAAGTGTGCTTCAGAGAGTCTGTGCCTAGCAACCTGTGAATTCACTGCTTGCTCTCATAACCCCCGAAAGGTGAGCTCTATTGTGCCCTTTACTGCCCAGATCACACAGCTAATTAGCAGATCAAAAAGGAGTATAATTCAGGGTCTAAAAGTTAAGCACACTAAATGAAACAATTTGTACTTTTCCTTATGTAAGAAATATCAAGTACATTCTTGGTGTAAAATGTAAATATTACCTATAAAACTGAAGTTGCCTTTGAGTTGCATTTCCTGATCTGCATCCCAGTCTCTTCCCCAGGGTCAAATTCAGTCAATAGTTTGGTGTGTGTTGCCTTTTTGTGCATATATGTGTATGAGTCCACATCTTAGAACTAGGTATTGTGCTGGTATTTTTTGTTTTTAAATATGAATGCAACCTTTCTGTATCATAGTTACTTTTTTACTATATCATTATGTCACCAAATGATCTCATTCTGTTAACTGCTCCATAGGATTCTGTCATATGCAACATGGTTTATAGTTTGTATAAACTTTTGAATAATCTGAAACTTATAAATGACAAAATTATTTTTTATCTGAAACAAATAGTTTTTCCAGCTGAAATACGGGATTATTCACATGAACTTTAAAAGATTGGCTTTTTCAGGGCCGAGATCAGATGGGCTCAGTATTTTGTCAGTAACTGTCACAAAAATCAAATAAAACCTGGCATACCTTGTTTGATTTTGCTCAGTGAATTGTAATTATTATAGATGATTGTCTTGTTCTCTGTTTAAGAGCTCATCAGGCAGGCATGTATTTTATCTATCTTTGTTCCTCCCCAAGACCTAGAGCAGCATGCAGGTAGTAAAAAATAAAATTCACCTGTCCTGGGTGACTGGACCTGAAAGTACTTTGTTCAGAGATTCACACTCTGAGGCAACCGGCCGAGACACTGGCAAATGCAGCAGGGGACAAGATGCGCTCAGGTGTGTGTCTACCTGAGCCCTGTATCTAAGAAACTTAGAACAGAATCCAAAACTTGGCATCCTACCTTTTCAAGTTTTCAGATAAGATGAAAAGCAGTTGAGTCAGCGTCTGTATATGAAGCACAAAATATAGAAAGACTAAGTAATTGACAGGCTGTAAGAAAACCTTGTCATTGGGCCAGTAGAGAATGAGATGAGGTTATCCAAGCATAAAGTCAAGATAAGTTGTTGAAGGAAGAATAATAGCAGCATTTAAAATCACAAAGGGAATTGAATAAAACAAATCTGGCTACCAAATATTCCAAAAAGGTATAGAATAAATGAGTTAGACCTGCAGTTTCCTTGGAAGTAATCAATAGATAGTTTAAAATGATAAATTAAGAGATAGATATAAAACATTGTTCACATCGTTTCCAAGCACCAGAAAAACAAAAAGTATAAAATTTGGCTTTTATTGTGAGGAAGGGGTGAGAAAAAATGTTGGTTTTCCTTAAAAGTTGTTATACTATTTGATTTGTTGGCTAACTGCTTTTTTTTGGCAAAAAAAAAAAAAAAATGTTAAGCATACTCTGCTCTAAGATTTAAAAAATATAGCTATGTTTTTGTTAAAATGAGTAGAACTTATATGAATAAAAAAGTTTTTAGTAGTTAGGTTTTTTATCATTTGTGTCAAAGTGTTCTTTCTTATTCTTACAGCTTCTAAGACCACGGGAGAAAAAGTTGGGACTAGGTAAGTAGAACCTCTCACTCATCACCTGCTTTTTGACTTGGCAGATTGTTCAGTATGTATTTTGTTTGGAACAAGGCCAAAATACAGTAACCCCCTATAATGATTTTTAATGATCTTAATGACATTTAAATGGTTTGAGTTGCCTGTATCAGTCTTGGTCCACTTGGGAAAACAGAACCACCACAAGTCTTTCAATATAGGGAATTTAATACAGAGAACCTGGTTACACAGGTGAAGGAATTGCTGAGAAGCCAAAAGGAATAGTGAAGCTACTCAGGGATTAGTAATAGCTGGAGGTTCCTACCCCCCCCCCCCCCCAAGCTGGAGCAGCAACCCAGGCTGCCCAGAGGGGGCTAGAATGATGAAGTTGGTGATACCCAGCAGCAGTTGAGTCATTGAGGATATGCAGTCAATGCAGGGAGGCAGAGTAAGAGAGGGAGGCCACTTGACCTTCCCTTCTCTCCTCTGCCTCTCAAAGCTGTTTGGAAGCCAGTTGACAAGCCAACCTGGGAAATAAGTTCCTTGCAATATAGGGAAAGGCCAGAGAAGGGATCTGAGGGCAAACATATTGGACCAGCACACTGCCTTAGCTATAAACCTTTGAATGTTTCTTTAAGTCATACGTTTTAAAAAGGTATTTATTTTTAAAAAAGAAATCTTTCTTAGCTTTTAAACAGTTAAAATCTCAGATGAGCTCAGTCATTCTGGGATGAAGATCTAAATGCCTTCATTTCTGTTGTTAGTCATCATTGCTTATGTAAAGAATTGGTATAATTTTACTGAAAAATTGGAGAAACACATTTTGAAAAATTGAATGTCTGTTATTCTGCAGACTGTTAGTTAACTGGCTTCATTAAATGTTCTGAATATCTGATTCAGAAAGTTGTTTGGGATTGAAATAATCTGCACACTGCCATGAAAGCAACCAGAATTACTGACCAGCCAGTGGTATATCCAAAAAGCTGTGATAGTCACTTCTTAACAAGAAGTTAGAAAAGATCAGCTTTGCTAGTAAGACAGTGGTCGTTTGGGGCCAGAGAATGCAGGAATCCCCAGATCCTGCTCCCAATCAGTTACTTACCTGCCAAGTTCCTGAGGAATTTTTAGGCGTGAAGATGCTAAGTATTTGCTAGCTGTGCCTTTGGCCCCAAATACCAGAGCAGGGCTCTACTATACCAGGCTTCCTACAGTGTAGAAGACACTGACAAAGGAAGTTTTTTGTGGAAATGGGAAGATGAGAAGATTAGAAGCAGGGAAGCTTGGTAAGGAGGAGTCATCAGAAGATGGTACCTCGGACTACTGTGAAGTTCAAGACAAAGAATGTAATTGAGAGATGTTTTTCATTGAGAATAAATAATACTTAATTATACTAGATCAGGATCATCTTTAGAGGACTAATGTATGCTTTTCAGTGCTTAACAATTGCTTCTCTGTTCAGATGTTGTAAACGTAAGCATTTCCGGTGATTTTCTTTAATAGAGATAAATATTTTCATTTTTAGGAACTGCATATATACATGGAATGAAACATGCCACAGGAAACTATATAATTATTATGGATGCTGATCTCTCACACCATGTAAGTGGCATATTTCTTTAATAGTGATTTATGATTGCCTTAGCCTATTTTACTGACTTACTGTTTATTCTTTCTAAATTTCAGCCAAAATTTATTCCTGAATTCATTAGGTAGGTAATTCTAATATTTGAAAAAAATACATGATTCAAATCATTTATCTTATATTGATTGTGGACTTATTTTTGTTTTTCATTCTTTATTAATTGAAAAATGAACATGCTATTTTGTTAGCTATCAAAAATAAAACCAACATATAGGTTTGAGACTCATGAGTATATAGTATGTGACTAAATGATGTGTTTTAGGAGCCCTGAGGAACTGATCAACAGATAATTCCTTTGTTATCTAGATTATTCCAGACTACAGAAAAAGCTAGTAGGTGACTTCCTGTTAAATGGAATTAAGCCCTAGATCATAAGGGTGAAACCTCATGAACAAATAAGGTTTATTCAGGAATGCTAGAGTGGTTCATCTTCAGGAATTCGTCAACATAATTTATAACATTAACAACAAAAAAATAGCATGATTAAGTCTGTAGATGATAAAAGTTTGATCAAATTCACTAGCCATTTCTAATAAAAACTTTAGAAAGTACAAATGGAAGGAAACCACTTAAACATGATAAAGAAAACCCAGTCCTACCTAATACAAATGTTTTACAAAATGGTGAAATGTAGAATCATTTCTAATTCGTCAAGCTAGGCATATCAGCTAACATTAAGCATGAATATTTTAAGTAATATTTTTAGGCAAGAATTTAGTATCAAATATAACACAGCAAGGAAAATCCACAGGTTTTGGGGGGTTTTTTTGTCCCGCAAACTGCTGTGTGATCTGGTCCCTGCCTCCCTTTCTGAACTTACCTTGTGCCTCTCCCCTTTGCTGTTTGTACTGCAGGCATACTCCTTCCATTTCTGCGCTCACACAATGCTATGTTGCCTTTGCCTGCGGTGCTCTTTGCCTGCTCCTTAGTGGCCAATAATTTCCTATCCTTTGATCTCTGCATTGAATCACCTCAGAGATACCATCTCTGCTTATATCTCCAATACACAAAGCCCCTTTGACTTGATAAATAGAAACAGTGGCGTAGGAAACAGGAAAGGTACAAACAGGCCATAATGTGAAAGAAATTCAAATGGCTAATAAACCTAAGAAGATAGTCACCCTAGGATGTAGTCAGAGAGTTGCAAATTAAATAACTGCAGCCCGACCCATGTGACTCAGTGGTTGAGTGTTGACCTATGAACTAGGAGGTCATGGTTCGATTCCCAGTCAGGGCACCAATCCCGGGAGAGAGGCGTGCATCATCATCGATGTTTCTATTTTTCTCTCCCTCTCCCTCTCTGAAATCAATGAAAATATAATTTAAAAAATAAAATAATTAACTATGTTGTTATTACCCATTAGTTTATTAAACTTAAAAACTTAATTCAGCAATACATCCAGCACCAATAAGACTGCAGAAAATGAGCACACTCAAATATTGCAGGAAGAAGTGAGTTGCTACGTTTTTGGAAAGTAATTTCTATGGTGAGATCTGTTAGGATTGTTTTAGCCATTCCATTATGTTCTACTTTGGGTAGTCTAAGCAGCAGGATATACTATTCATTGTGCTTGTGCTCTTGGAAATCGGGGCACCCATCATGGAAACAACCATATGAGTATACAGGTTAAATATTCTATTAAATATTTTTGCAGCTGTTAAGAAGAATGGAGACCCTGGCCCATGGGAGTCAGTGGTTAGGGTGTCGGCCTGAGCACCAAAGAGTCTCGGATTTGATTCCTGGTCAAGGGCGTGTACCTAATCCTTGGCCCTAGTTGGGGCATGTGCAGGAGGCAACCAAACCAATCGATGTGTCTCTCTCACATGTTTCTCTTTTTCTCTCCCCATCCTTTCCTCCCTTCCAACCTCTAAAAAACAATGGAAAAAATATCCCTGGGTGAGGATTAACAACAACAAAGAATGGGGAAATTCTTTGTCAACTTTGTAGGGATATCCATGATTCCATGATGTGTATTAATTGACAAAAAGCAAGTTGCAAAACGTGTATTTTTTTGAATTCCAAATTTGTGAAAGTGACATAAAACACTATAGGGAGTCCTGTCTTTGAGTTGTCTTTCTGTAAACAAAGAGAAAGATCTAGAAGGTTGCCAGGCTGTTTTACCATTGTTTACTTCAGGTACAAGAACAGAAATTCAGGGAGATTGTGTAAATTTAATTTTATTAATTACATTTTAGGATGGTTTCACATGGTGCAGTCAGCAAATGTACTGTTTTAAATATCAATGAAGGAAGAAAAGGATGAAGTTTGAAAACCTTACTTTGAAAGATCTTTCAGCAGTAATAATAGTTCATCTATTTCCTTGGCATTGTTTTTCCTAGATGCAAGTCTTGACAGTTCTGTTTGTGTAACTCTTGAAAATAACTATTGAAATCCCAGTAGCTTTCTCTAATTGACAGCTAATTTATTTGTTCTATAGGAAGCAAAAGGAAGGTAATTTTGACATTGTCTCTGGAACTCGCTACAAAGGAAATGGAGGTGTTTATGGCTGGGATTTGAAAAGAAAATTAATCAGGTATATACATGTGTTATGATTACTGTTTTTTTAGTGTAACTACTATAAATATGTTTATAACAGGTATTTAGGTTAAATTACCATACTGCCTTGGTATTGGTGGGATCAGAGTATTAACTTCCAGTAAATATTTCCAGATAACTTCTTACCTACAATTTTTCCTATGATTAGAGTATTTTATTTGGGGTATTTTTCACTAAGGAAAATCAACATAAACCTTTGAACCTTTGGTAAAAATGGTATGATTCAGCACAAATTTATTCTCTGGACCTTCAGCTTTGATTTTAAGTGAACTATTCATCTATATTTTGGGACTACTAAGGTAGTTCTCCATATATATTTTTTATCATTTTAAGTAAATAAGACAATTATTTCAACTTTTTTAAAGCAGCATAAAGTAGTGAGGCTTTGGAGTCAGACCTGGGTTAAAATCCTGACTGTGTCACTTAATTATCTGTCACCTTGCATGTTTTACCTTTCCTAAGCTTTACTTTCCTCATCATGAAATGGAAATGAAACCTGTTTCAGTTTTCTACTGCTGTATAACAGACCATCCCAAAGCTTAGTGACGTAAAACAACGACATTATTTCTTCTGGTTCTGTGGATTGGCTGGTGGTGAGTCCTCTGCTGGCTTCACCTGGGCTCATTCATGCAGCTTTCTTCAGCTGGAGAGGCAACTATGCTAGAAGATCCAAGTGGCCTCATTCATCCATCCAGTAGTTGATGGTGGTTGTTGTCTGGGGCATCTCAGTTCTGCTGTGGCCCCTCGCCTTCTGGAAAGCTAGACCAGCTTCTTTACATGGTGTCCTAAGGACAGCGTCCAATAGTACCAAGTCTGCAGCCATAAGGCTTCTTGAGTCCGAGGTTTTGGGGCTAATTCTTGGTCAAGGCAAGCCCATAACCAAGGGGCGCAGAAATAGAATGGAAGACCTGCAAAATGTTTTTGGCCATTAGTATTTTTTTTATCACCTACTTCATTCCTGTTGAAGATTCTTTTCATCTCAAGTTTGCCTCTTAACTGTGAATCTTGGGCAAGTCATTTAAAACATGTAAATGCCTCAATCTTCAGAGAAGTGAAGGGGTTGGATAAAACTGATTTTCAATCCTGCTAAATATTGGAATCATGTAAGGAGAAAATTACACACAACTGCTCCCTATTCATCCTCCCTTTCGCTTGCCCACACACAATGCAGACCATTTGAATAGCTCTCATAGGTGGGGCCAAAGCATCAGTATTTTCCACAGGCTTCCCAGGTGATTATACTGCTGACAAGGTTGAGACCAACAGCGATCTCTCAGGCCTCTCTGATTTCAGTCATTGAAACTGTTCTTAAAATTAGGGAGTCCCAGTCAGAGACAGTTCATAGCTTTTAGTTGAACCATTTAGTTGTAAATATCATTAGTTGTTCATGCCTGAGCTGACTTAAAGTATAAACTCCTGAAAAGATTGTTATCACTTGTGCTAGGTCTCATTTATATGGTCCAGAACCACAATTTGAACCCAAATTCTGTCTGACTCTTGCTATACTTTAAGAGACTCCTATTTAAAAATACATTACCTTAAACATATGCAGATACACGCACACACACACACACACACACAATAGATATATATACTTAAATTTCTTTGATTACACACATATTGGGGGAGGTGGGGACTATGCACTGGAATTTTTGTTGTTGCTTTTAAAACAAAGGGGGGGGGGAATGTTTTTGTTAGCCATTATCCCAGCTATATTCCTGTGTTATATTTTTTAAAAATATGTTTTTATTGATTTCATAGAGAGGAAGAGACGAGGGAGAGATATCAGTGATTATGGAGAATCATCATTGGCTGCCTCCTGCATGCTTTCCCTCCCCCCCCCCCCCCCATCCCCACTTGGGGATCTAGCCCTCAGCCTGGCATGCGCCGTGACCCAGAATTGAACTGTGACCTCCGGTTCATGGGTCAGTATGCAACCACTGAGCTATGCCGGCTGGGCCCCTGTGTTATTTATATAAAGATAATCTTTCCATGAGAGGGCCTTGGTGGTTACCTTGGCTGTGGAAACTTATCTCCAGGCTGCCCAGAAAAGTTTTTTTTAATATGAGCACAATAAAATAGCTGCAGTACAAAAGTCACTTTTTTCAAGAGCTCTTCACACATCTTTTTGAAATGTTAATAATAGCTGTTAGTCAGTAATAGCTTGTAATTGATTCTTAGATGTGTTTGAAGCAGTGCCCTAAAGTCATTGTTATGGACTCAGTGTGTCTGCTAAAATTCATGTTAGAGCACCTTACCCTGTAAGTGTTGGTATTTGGAGATGGGGCCTCTGGGGGGGTAATTAGGTGTAAATGGGGTCTTCAGTGTGTGGCATTCATGGTAGGATTAGTGCTCTCTGAAGAAAAGAGGAAAGCTTGGACCCCACCCACTTCCCTGTGTGAGCACACTGCAAGATGACAGCCATCTGTAAGCCAGGAAGAGGTTTCACTTCCTTGGACTTCCTAGCCTCCAGTAACGTGGTATTTTGTTATAGCAGCCCAAGCACACTAAGACAGTCTCGGACTGAACCTTGGACAATTTCCAGAGATTGCCAAAAACCAAAGCCCTCTTCCACTTAGACACCTTCATTTTTTTTTTTTGAAAAAAGCATCATTTTTATGCAGACTGACCTATTACCTAGTTGAAGCCACTCTTCCTTTGTGCTTATTAGAATCTGAAAAGGAAACTCCAGATCCCTGATCGCTTGCTAGTTGACAGATGTTTGAAATTCTAAATGGCTTCTGGCAAATACACAAGTTAAAAACCTAGGCCCTTTCATAACTAAAGTTTAAGAGTGATTGCTTTATAGGTTCCCTCCAAATGTTCCTATTTTCTGAAAATTGAGAAACATCAGATCTCCTTGCACTGACTAAAAATTTATTTGTTCTATAGAATTAATATTTTTGTGAAGTAGTGTTGCATTTATTTATGAAATTAGGATAGCAGTTTTAGTACTCTTGGATGTGTTTCTCTTGCTTAGAAACTATTTTATAAAGAAAATCTGATCATTTTATTTGACAGCCGTGGGGCCAATTTTGTAACTCAGATTTTGCTGAGACCAGGAGCATCTGATTTAACAGGAAGTTTCAGGTACAGTGAAAACCTATAATTTTATATTTCTACTGCTTATAACTGTTTGCCTAAATTTCTTGCTTTACAGTGGCTTATTTTATTTTTAAATATGTTTTTATGGATTTTTTTTTTTTCTTAGAGAGGGAGGGAGAGGGATAGAGAGATAGACACATCGATGAGAGAGAAACATCATTGATCGGCTGCCTCCTGCATACCCCCTATTGGGGATCTAGCCCACAACCTGGGCATGTGCCCTGATTGGGAATCGAACTGGTGACCTCTTGGTGCCTGGGTAGACACTCAACTGCTGGGCACAATGATTTATTTTAAAAAAAATGCTTTGCATTTCTTCCCTGTTTTTGTCCTGGGACTCTAAAAAGGCAGACTGTATTCCCTTAGAAGCTGCTAATGAAGCCTACACGTCTTGAAAAATATTGTGCTTTTTAAAGAGCACCTAAGGCAGGGCTCAAGTTAGTGTGCTTGTCAATATTAACATTAATATTCTGTCCATAGGAGTGCCCTCTGGGATGCCCAAATGACCACTCACTACTCATTCTAAACATTGCTATCACTGGTAATGTGCTCCAGAGAACAGCATCTCTTCCAGGAATTTTCTGCAATTTATATAAATATTTGTAGCATTGTCCACAGAAAAGTTTAAAACCTTATTTATGTAGAGTCTTTTTGGTTACCTTGTTCTCCATTATATTTTTTATAAAATATTCTTATTTAATTGGTACAAAGCCTCCTGCTGCGTCCCTGTACTTTTTTATTTTTGTTTATTCTTGGGAGGGAGTGGTATATGTGTTTAATTTTAGAACTGCTACAGTAGATGAACTATTATATGACCATGCCAAATGATTAAGGCCTGCCAGATATTTGTTATCATCAAAACTATAAAATGCCTGTTCATTTTCATTAAAGCCCAAACCCCATGCATTTGTTAATACTTTGTATTACTTGATATTTACTTTTTCCATTAAATAATGTTGATTTTTGATTCTTCATTAGAATTCACACACAAAAAGTAGGAGCTGACCATTAAAAATAATTAGTACCTGTAGTATAACTGTAAGTCTTAAATAGCAGTTCAGAGACACTAAGAGGGTCAAAAGTGAAGAGAAGTTTTTTTAATGTCTTTATTTGGTAAAATAAGATTGTTTATGAGCCACAGACAACTGCCCTCTCCCTGTCTGTCACTCCCCAAAAAATGAAGAGAGGAGACATCACAAATTAGAGGCCAAATATTGAAAATGAAGCCTCTTTAGAATTAAAATGTAAATTGGTTAGAAAGCAGAATTTGGTGTGTAAAAGACAGATGTATCCCTGTAAATGTATCCCTTTTGTTCCACATTTCAAGACAAAGAAATAATGTGTTATCTGATTAAGATCACTGATTCCATGTAGCAGCAATGCAAAGAGTAGTGGCACTTGCAAAATCTCTGTGAGGACAGAATGGCCAATGTGGACTTAACAGGCCATCGGCATGATGACTGATGGAAGATCCAGGGTGGCTCCATGGGTTGTGGAGATAGGTAGGGGCTTTGTTTTTTGGCCTAGTTCCCCTATTGAAAGCTCTGCAGGTGCTTTCAAAAAAGCTAAAAGGTGATTCATTTTAGATTCAGCAAACATTTATTGCATGCCAAGCACTGTCCTCATGTTTATACATTCTAATGACATATGAGACTTGCAGCATCACATGGGGACCCAGTTGTGAAGAAAAACACAGCAGAGAGAGGATTGGATGGCAGCATCTCATTGCCACCAGACCATGTAGGGAATAGAGGAGGGGGTGAGCTCTGGGTGTCCTTTTAGAGAGAGCAGTGATTGAGTGTATTCTGTGCAAATATCCGAACAGCCACACATGCAAAAGTGAGCCTGTTGATTTCACTACTTTTAAATCATTAGAGCTCACTGTCCCTGTGATTTATTAAATACATGTTTTATTAAAGTTCAACTTCTCATTAGATGAAGTTCCTAGTATTGAGGAGGCATGTGTCTTTTACCAAATAAAAGGGAACCCAAAAAGACTGCAGTCTGATGTAAAGCCATTTAATAGCGAAGACCACTTGGATCCTAATTATCCTATTTATTGGCTCATGGCTTCATGTATGCAGTATTACATCATTAGCCATAGTTTTAAAGCTACTGTGGTGGAGAAGGGGTGGCAATAAAGAGAAATAAATGTCTTACAAAATAACTCTTTATGAGGAATAAAATGACTTAAAGGGGCAGAATTCCTAGCCAAAACCCAGTTTAAAATGTGATGCTGAAATATCCCATCATGATCATAGTCTTTCCCATAATCCCAATCTCCCTCCCCTATTTAATTAACTTTATGTGATAAATTTATTTAGTTTCTACTGCTAAAATCCTAAAACATAAAAAGGAGCCTTAAACACAGTAGGTTGCTTAGTAAATACTTATTGACTAAATATTCTACCATCCATTTCTCCTCACTTTAGATTTATTTCAAGCTTATACTTTTGAATTCTTATGGGACCTGTGTGGATGAAAGAGTGCACATACTAGTCATTCTCAGGTTCCTCTCTCTGTCATTTAATATCCACTTAAAAGCTTGAAAAGCCAAAAAAGGTAGGGTTCCCTAGAGGAAGCCTGAAAAAAAGTGAATATGGGTTACCCTCAGGCATTGTAAATCCAGGTGGCCTTTAACTGGGAAGAGAACAAAGTTATGCCAAACTGCCTCTCCTAATTTGCTCCCAAAAAAGAGAAATTGCTGCCTTCTTATTGAGACTGTTTGGCGGTTTTGTTTGTTTGCTTGTTTGTTTGTTTACCTAAGAGACTGATAACTGGGAGCTCCTGATTGGGTTCAAGCACAGGACTTCCCTGCTCCTGTCTTGCTTTGTAAATCCTGATGAGCTCTGTGTCTAGCCTACAGTTCATACAGTTAGACTGCACATTCATTCCCCAGTTATAAGTATCTAACTGTGACATCTGACTGGTGATAGCTGTGTCCAACCAGGATTGCCTCCCAGTTCCTGTCTTAACCTAACCTAACCAACCTAACCCTGGAGGGGCTAGTGTATCCCGGGAAATTTATTTAGTAGATCACTAGAAAGAGAAGCTCATCATAAACATTTATGAGGAAACCCCTGTTAATTGCTAGAGTCTTTTTCTCGTCTTACTCTTTCCACTTTAAAATTTAATTTTAAGAGTTAAAAACAATAGGTGGTTCTGCTTTGAATGATTTAATTTACTATATTTTTATAATTTCTGATAGTATGGTAGGAAAATAATTCTCTAAAAGATACTAAGAATTCATTTTCTAAATTATTTACAAGATATTTCATGACCCTTCTGTTTGTTTCAGGACAAATGTATATCAACTGTTATTCGTGCACTGGTAGGGTCCCTAGCGGCTGGCGGCTGGCTGCTAGGGGTGGCCTCCCTCCCTTCCCCCTGCCGGCCCACCCCTTGGTCGAACTCCTGGAAGAACTCTGGTCGAGGGGACAAATTGCATACTATGCTTTTACTATATAGGATGACTAGTAAAATTTTGAGGTTTTAAAAATACCAGTGAACTTTTTGTTTTAATTTAATCCTCACCTGAGGCTATTTTCCATCTATTTTTAGAGAAAGTGAAAGAGAGAGGGAAAGACAGAGAGAAATATCGATGTGAGAGAAGCACATCAATTGGTGGCCTCCTGCATGAGCCCCGACCAGGGCCCGGGCTGGGGAGGTACATGCCCTTGACCAGAATCAAACCCAGGACCCTTCGGTCCGCAGGCCAAACCGGCTAGAGCACCAGTGAACTTTTTGAAAGGTCAGGATGCATGTAGACAAGTGTATTTATCTAGGTGTTTATATATATATTTTTAAATTTCATACAGGTTATATCGAAAAGAAGTTCTACAGAAATTAATAGAAAAATGTGTTTCTAAAGGCTACGTTTTCCAGATGGAAATGATTGTTCGAGCAAGACAGTTGCATTATACTATTGGCGAGGTATGCAATTAATTGTAAATAGTATGTTGTAGTCCTCATAAATAATAAGGTTTAGACTTTTCATTATAAAAAGTTTAATTTTCATTACTACCAAATAAATGTGAAAGGCTTCCAGCTGTTGGGAATGCCCATGCACTAACGGGTGAAAATTCACATCCCTTTCACAGCAATACATTTGACCTACCAAGATTAACAGAAAGGCAGCATTCCCTTTTAAATAATTAAAAGTTACTGGTATCTTCTCCATCCTTGCCCTTTCTTCTCACCACTCAGCATTCTGGGATGAGTGTATTCACTGCTTTTCCTCTTGCCATAGTCCACACCCATCCAACTTAAAAGTGAATGCTGAGTTCCATTGCCAATTTCCTCTGCTGAGTTCCATTGCCAATTTCCTCTGAGTAAACGAAAAGCACAGGAATAGCGCGGGGGAGGGGAGGGGTCTGATATTTACAGCGAGCTCGTGAACTCAGGGAATACTCTCCTTGTTTAACACGAAGACTCTTTCTCAGAGCAGGAAGTAGCTAACTAGAATGCCACATCTCTTGTGGAAATTACAAAATTTTTAACTTAATACTAAAACGTAGTGACAGCTAAATTTGACAGACTAATGAAAAAATTAAGTGGAAGGCTATTTTACTTTTGTAGTATAATTTTTCCTTGAAATGTAGTCAAACTTGAGTAAACCAACTTAATATGCAGGATCAATGCTTTCAAACAGATGTCGATTTGGTTGATACTAGCCCATTTTTAGATAATAAAGTGCCTGTTTAATTTTAAAGACTTGGAGGAGGTGCACACATTTGCTGTGAGAATTGAAGGAATTGCTTCAATTTAAAGGAATTGCTATCATAGAACTAATCTTGTTTTGGTTGTATTAGTAATTTTTATATGCCTGCTACGCTTCTTTTCTAATATTTTTGAAGACTGACTTAACATATATTTTTTTAACTAGGTTCCAATAACATTTGTGGATCGTGTTTACGGTGAATCCAAGTTGGGAGGAAATGAAATAGTCTCTTTCTTGAAAGGATTATTGACTCTCTTTGCAACTACATAAAAGAAAGTTATTCTTATTTATCACATTCATTTCAATTTAAACATAGAGGAAGCCTGGTTGCTGACTTTTATAAAATGTACTCTTAGAGCATAAATCATAGGTAAGGTAAATTTCATGCAAATCTTTTTTTCTGAAGAAGTTCCATTTTATATATTAAATTAGAAAAATGAGCACTGTTCTCAGTTTTCTTTAACATTTTGCTGTATTAAGACCTACAAATAAATGCATATGGGTTTTTTGCATAAAATATTGCTGCTTTCATTAGAGTATGTGATGCAGAATTTCTTACAGGGGGAAGATTTTGGAATATTTTCTATAAAAACTATATTCTTAACTCAATGTACCTAATATATGTCAGAAGAGGAATTCTTATTCATGAAATATATATGACTGTTTCTGTGTGAATTGAAAAAGAAATACACACCTTTCCCCTTTCTTTTAAAATGTATCTGAAATTTCTTAAATCAGATAAAACAATACATTTAGAGCACAGTTTTAGAGTTTGGTTCTTTGCAGCTGTTGAATTGGTGAAGCAATTCAACTGTCAAAGCAAGTCTATTTAAAATATATATTTGAATTGGAAACAACTTGACAATAGTTGATAGCATAGTTGTGTTTGCTCTTCTGAGCAATAACTTCTATTAGTAAAGAAAAATGTTGATATTAAAGCATAAATGTAGTTGCTCTTACAAACTAAATAATGATTTTCTTTCACAAAATAATTCTTTTCATATTATTTCAGGACCCTCAAAAAAGCATTCATCTTTACTATAAAAAAACAAAAGTTCCTTTCTTATAGTTTTTCTCTCTGTTCAGAAAAATGTTCTGATAGTTTAAATGCAGGTTAAGTTGTTTAGCCCCTAGAGTGCCTGGGAGCGCGATCGTGCTCCTCCGGTCTTTCGCCAAAAGTGCTGGGAGCGCTATCGCGCTCCTCCTGCAGTGTCACTATTAGATGCTAGTAGTTCACTCTTTATGTGGGAAAAAAAGAATTTAAAAATCTTAACTCAGAATGCCTTGGCAAATTTAGCATAGGTCCTAGGATATTGGCTGGCACTCAAAGGGTTAGTAAAGCCAGTGCAAATATTCTGTTCACCTCCAAAGTAGGTATTTCAAAAAACGATCAGCCTCTAACTGTAACATAGCTTTTGGATCATGAAATATCTTTTAAATTTTTGGGTAAGGCTTACTATGGGCATATAAGCTTAAGATCAAGTTGACTTTCCTTTGAATAAAAGGAAGAGGCATCTCTAAGTTATTTAATAAAAAAAAAAAAAAAGGAAGAGGCATCTCTAAGTTATTTAATAAAAAATTAGTGAACAGTATTCCTAATTACATTTCCCTGGTTTAATTTGGCTGCTAAAGTCAAGAAATTTAAAGTTTGATTTTTTTCATTTCCATTTCTAACAGATCCTACCAGAAATGAATACCAGAGTATTAAACCATTGGTGCCATTTTGAACATTGCCTAGTCCCATAGTTCAGCGGTTCTCAACCTGTGGGTCGCAACCGCTTTGGGGGTCGAACGACCCTTTCACAGGGGTCGCCTAAGACCATCGGAAAACACATATATAATTACATATTGTTTTTGTGATTAATCACTATGCTTTAATTATGTTCAGTTTGTAACAATGAAAATACATCCTGCATATCAGATATTTATATTATGATTCATAACAGTAGCAAAATTACAGTTATGAAATAGCAACGGAAATAATTTTATGGTTGGGGGTCACCACAACATGAGGAACTGCATTAAAGGGTCGCAGCATTAGGAAGGTTGAGAACCACTGCCATAGTTGAATCCATAGGGGACATTCCAGTAAGGGTCTCTACTGTTGCATTTCCCTTTTACACAGAGCTGTGCAGGGCGCACTAGGGATCCACCTTCCTCAGGACTTCTCTCATCATTAATTACTAGAAAAATCACTGTTTTATGTAAAATTGCTTTTAAGCTAGCATAAAGAAATACAATATCCTTTTTAAAAGTATTTAGAATCTGTTCTCATTCATCCAAACCCAAAGTTGTTTTCATTGTCAAGGATCTGGAGCAGAGATGAACTAAGTACCTCAGAGAACCCACTAGAAGTAATGCCTTCTCAGACCTCCACTAGAGTAGATACCTTTTGCCTTTTTAATCTTTTCACTTCTTATTCCCACAATCATTACAACATTATGACTTATTGAAGTTTACACTCAAGAAAGTATTTGAGCAGTGAAGACTTTCACCATTTGGAAGTTATTAGAAAAGAATCTAGACTATTTAGATACATTTTTGTACTAAATGTGGTGACTTAAAACACTAAAATCATTTACATGTGAATCCAGCATCCCTTTCTACTTTGTGAATGAGGCCAAGGATGAAATCCAGATGTTCTCCCTTAGTATTATCACTATGAAATATAAGTATATCTAAGGAAAGCTAAACTTAAGATTAAAAAATTTGCTTATTTCATATTCGTTTTGCCTGTCTTCTGCAACATGTAATTGAGTCATCTTTGTCTCTCTAAACCAAATGCTTTGTGCCCCTACCCCCCTTTTTCTTTTACAACTTTTTTCAGCTATTGTTTTCCTTTGAAATACTGATTTGGGTTTTAAGGATGTATTTTATCACAATTTCCGAAATGAATGAAATACTGTGTTGGATGACACATTTTGTTAAATCTGCTAACTCAGAGGTTACATTGAGTGCATGTAACCATAATTTGTACTATTTTCAATTAAGGTAAGATTTTTTGGTGATATTGGGGTATGGCTTGAAACTGTTACCTTGACATTTAGAGTAGCAGCAAAAGTTAAGTGTATTTACAGAGCACATCTTTAGAAAACAGGCTTGGTTCATCCTTCACTATTGGCATTTAGTATTTTTCAGTATGTTTAGCCAATGATATACTCTCAGATGCGTCCTGCTATTATTATAGGTGGATTCCAAAATGTTGAGGAGATAATGTGTTGGTTGGGGTTGACCTAAATTTACAAAGGCAAATTGTCCATGTGCTGTCTGAAGTTGTCAGATTGTGGGAGCACTAAAAATGACTGTCCCTAGAACTATACAAAGTGTAGTTTTTAAGGATCGTGAGGTCCATTGGCAACGTCATTTCTCATCCTTAGGCTTCACCAGTCTAATGGCCTCAAAACACTAGGGATCCCATTTGTTTTCTTCAGGCCAAAGAGAAGAGCCCATGATCACTGCCTTGGAAGAATGTCAAGTCGAAGGGCAACAGCCTGCCTTCTGTAAAACACAGCCCCTGTCCACTGAACAGCCCACCAGGAAGGGTTTGGGCATCACCCATGGGGTTGCTTCTCATCTCCAGTCCGTGTGTGAAGCACGAGGCACTCACACCTCATTTAAGCTGGAGCATCAGCCACCACCAGCCAGGTGTCCCTGCCCTTCCCGCTGCAGCGCAGCCACTGAGCGCTGGGGCTCTCGGCACGTGGTGCCTCAGGGCTGCCCACACGCCCCCTCCCGCCAGATGTAGTCCAGGCCCAGCTGGGCCCGCGCAGGGATCCCAGCACGGCCACCTGACTGAGTGCGAGGGGTGCTGCGGCCTCGGCTTGTGCTCCGCCGCCGGCGCTGCGGCCAGTGGAAGGCGCCTGCCTTGCACACGGGCCCTGGAAGCGCACTGCGGCCTTTATCTGCGGCGCCTCCTAGTGGGTCAATGGCAAATCCTCTTGGTTCTCGCGAGATTTCTTCCTCAGTGGGGATTATATAATTTCCCTTAGGCGGGGTGGTGGGGTGCTGGCGCCACCCTCCTTCAGAAAAAGTTAGGTGCCAGCATAATTGGGAGTAAGAGAGTTGTCCCTGGGGACACGTGTGGAAAGGGTACTGCGTCCCCCCACACACACACTCAGCTGGACAATGAGTCCTCTTATGCTAATGAGCACTTACGTCACTTCCGCTCTTTCTCAGCCGCCATTTTGGCTAGGGCAGGTTCGGGGACTCGCTCTGAGGCGCTTGTATTGTCTGCTGAGGGGAGACGCGGGACCTGCCCCCTCCCCCGCCCGTTGCAGCCGCAGCCGCCGCCGGCCCGGTCTCCCCTCCGCCGCCCGCCGAGATCCATGAGCTGAACTCCCGCCCCCCCGGCCGCCGCCATCTTGTTCCCCCTCCCCCTCCCGCGGGCAGCGCTAAGGGGGATTTTGGCGTCTCCTCAGGCACAGCTCCCTCTCTCGGTCCCCGCAGCTGAGGAGCGAGAGGAGCGCGGCCGCCGCCGTCCGCCCGCCCGAGCCAGTGAAGCGGCCTCTCCCACACCCTCCGTCTCCTCCCTCCGCCCCTCCTTTGTCTGCACCGCTCGACGACGCCGCCGCCCGCGCGGGGACTGGAGGAAGCCGCTCGCGCCGCCGCCGCCGCCCGCCGCTCTGCTGCGCCCGCCGCGCCCCCCGGCAGCAGCCGCGGCCGCGGCGCGAGCCGGAGCCCGCCGAGGCCACCGAGCCCGGGCGCGCCCTCGCCGCCACCGCCGTGCCGCCGCCGCCCGCCCGCCGCTACCGCCCGGCCCCCGAGCACGCCGGCCCCGCGCGCGCCTCGAGGCCGAGTCAAGGTAAGCCGCGCGCCGCCCTGCGGCCTGGCCCTCCGTCCGCGCTCCTCCCGCCGAACCGGCCCCGGCCACATTGTTGCTGAAATTGCCGGCCCTCCAACCACACACGCTCCTGTGCATACTCGGGGGCTGGCGGGCCGCTCGAACCGCTCCCCGGCTCTGCTCCGTGGGCCAGGCGCCTCCTCCTGCAGCCCGACCCCCGCTCCCCGCCTCGGGAGCCCGCGGAGCCCAGCGAGCCAGCCTGGCCGCCGGAGCGTCAGCCGCTCCTGGCATCTCCCTCCACCCCGCCCTCCGCCAGAACCGAGCTCTCCCATCCCTGGAACTCAGCCTTTCCTCCCGCCCCCCCTCCCCGCCGGCCCCCACGCACACCCCCAAAGCCTGGGACGAGCCTTCTGCCAGGTCTACCCACCCATAGCTAGGGGCGGGGGGCAGTCTGGGGGCGGGAAGCGTGCACCGCACGAGTGAAAGTCTGTCGGCTGTGCGATCCTTCCTCCCGATGTGCCAGCTCCCTGCTCTCCTGACCACGGAGTCCACCACCTCTTCGCTCCATCGCAGCGCCTGGTCAGCCCGACCCCCCAGGAGCATTCTGAGCCCCAACTTATGCGAGGGTAGAAAATGGACATCCAGGAAGCCGGGAAAAGATTTTTTTTTTAACGCAATGAATGGGGAATAGTTCTTTGAGCGCCTTTTTATTCACCTCTTCCCTCTGGGCTGCCTGACTGACTTCCCCTCCCCCCGACCTGGATGCCTGTCTGCTGGAAAAGGCGCGATTGCTTCTCTTCCTCTTCTGCCCAAGATCGGGCACTAAGATCTAACATCCTTTCTAGCCACACACACCCACTCCAAGTCTTCTTGATGTTCTGCATTCACCAATTCCTCTGGACAGTTCTTGCCATAACCCCATTTCTCAGACAAAGGCTTAGGAGGGAAAAAGAACCAAACTGTTTCCAGGGTTTGCCATTTTAATGCTGTCCATCCCCACACACCCAGTTCCTATTCCTGATGCTTCTTGTGCCAGTGCCTTGAACCTTCGAAATGAAAAAGGAAAAAAAAAACTCCTGGGGAGCTTGATACAGTTTCTTTAGAAATCTGCATTGTTGCTTCTGGTTTATGGCCATGAAGAAAATACCCGCCCCCACCCAAAATGCACCGCAGCCAAGTCGGCTAAAGGCTATGAGTGTTGGAGTCAGTAGGGGGCGCATTCTCTGCACTGGGTAAGGCTGCAGAGGGGGGAAGGGCCCCAGAGCTAGAACAGGATGTGCTTCACAGCGCCTTCTACAGACCATGGGAAAATGGGCCTAGCAAGACACACTGCACTCTTAGTTGGTGAGCTGACAGCAACATGGCGAAGGATTGAGTCAAGAGCAGTGATTTTTATATCTTAAAAAATCCACCCTGCATTTTAGAAGTTCTGTCTTTTACTTTTCAAAACTGTTGACCCTCAGTCTACTTTAGTTCTTGATGAATCACCTTGGCACATCCTTGGTACCCAGATTTCCCCTTGTCTGGAATTCTGCCACCTTAAACTTTGTGTCACCATATCTTTCCAAGGTCAGGTGGTAAAGGGAAAAGCTTAAAACCTAAGAATAACTGGTTTGGGGTATTGCTGATATCTCCCTTCTTAATGGCCCAAATCTTCCCAACTCTTTGAGAGTTCATCATTCTTCAGGTATGGTAGATGTTAGTGGGGGTAGTAATTTTCATAAGCACGTAGATGGGTGTCATGATTTGCAAAGCCTTGTTGGTAAACATCTAGCCCACATTGAGTTCTCCATTATCAAACTCAACAGTTGATTGTAAAATTTTGTTTTCTTTCAACTTTGGGATTGTAATTGCCACTCATTATCTTAGTAGCCAACCACCTTTGCAAAAGTGTTGACGCTGGTCTTTGGTGAACACTTACCTCCTTAGGCTGTGTTAATTTCTATAGATTTTACTCTTGTTATTTCCATAGGTGTGAGATGCACAATGCGAAACCTAGGCCCCAGCTGTTGCACCATGATGCGCAGGGTTGTACTTTTTGTACTGAACTAGACATGTAGCCTAGTGGTTATGCCCCGTACTACTATTTTGAGGATCTGGACTGCGTTCCTGCTTTGCTCTTTGGACCACATTGTCAATTCACACTGGTGGGTATATTCATTTTGGAGGGTGGGAACTGCAGCAACAGGGAAGCCAGAGACTTCTTCCTCCTTGCTCACCACCAAAGCCAACACTTCCAAAATTTTAGCCTACCCACATTCCTCAAGGAACCGTTTAGAGATGGTTGCATTTGCAAATGACTTATGACTTGTTTAAGAGAAAAATTTTAATATTTTGTAGTCTGCACTCTTAACATAAAGTATGTTAAGTTCTCAGTTAATGCTCTTTTGGTGATCCAGTCTCAAGTTGATAAGCTTCTAAAAACCTTAATGATTCTCTGATCAGAACAGGCTTTTCCATGAACATGTACTTGCTACCAGAGATTGACTGGTTGTTGATACTCAGGGGTACTTCAAGTATTTTATATAGATACACCAAAATAAATTTATGGGGAAATGAATGGGTGTATTATTTGATACGTAGTTGACCACTTTGGTGCTTAAGGGAGACTTCACTGGACATTTGCTACCAAGTAACATTTTGGTGAGTGAAAAAGGAGGCAGTTTCGTTCAGGTATTCCATTAGAAACTTAACTATCTTTTAAATTATTTAGTAATTACAAGAATCAGATATTTAAACTAAATGGGTATTGTAAGTTTTAAATATTGTTTAGTATTTGTTAAATATTTTGATCTAGATTTGGTTTTTGATATATTACACATATAGTTTTTATTTTGTTTTTTAATATATTTTATTGATTTTTTACAGAGGAAGAGGAATAGAGAGTTAGAAACATCGATGAGAGAGAAACATCGATCAGCTGCCTCCTGCACACCTCCCACTGGGGATGTGCCCGCAACCAAGGTACATGCCCTTGACCGGAATCAAACCTGGGACCCTTCGGTCCGTAGGCCAACACTCTATCCACTGTGCCAAACCAGTTAGGGCTACACATAGTTTTAAATGAGTAATTTGAAGACAATTTCTTATTTGAGGGTATGTTTGAGATGAAGTTTTTAAAGATTCTATATTTAAGATAGTGTTAACTGATGACATTATTGGTAATAGCCGTTTTTCCTCTACAGTTGCTGTGAGCTCTTAGAAAAGCATTCTGTGGTTTCAAAGGTTTCCCTGGTTTGACACTCAAAAAAAAGGTCAAGCAATTGGGCTTGATGGCTAGAATTTAGGTAAATTGTGAGGGTTCATTAAAGTATAGTAAAAAAGCCTCAATTAACTAGAGGGTGGGTATGGGTATCCTATCCTATTTAATTGAACATTAAGTAGAAATTCCTTCTTTATCTTGGCCCTTGTTGAAAATTTTCTAAGACTACCTTACCAGAGGTTGCTGTACATTATACAAACTAAATTTTTTATTTGGGTTCTTACAGTCTCTATAGAAAATATAAGTGATTGGGCTGTGAATCTAAAGACCCCTCCCTCCTCACCCTACCTGTCTGGAAGTCATTGGTTTTACACATAACACTGTTCATTTGTTTTGCTTAAATTTCCCTTTTTCCCCTTAAGCCAAAGTGCAGAAGTTTCAGAACTATTTATATTAAAATAAAACATCATCATATTTAAGAGATTGTCCAGTAAATTCTCAGTTACTCTTATTTTGATGACCCAATCTCAAGAGTTGCTAAGCTTCTAAAAACTTTAAAGATTCTCTCATTAGACTAAGCCTTTCCATGAGTCTGTACTTGCTTGCTCCCAAGTCAACAACCAATAATAAATAGGGATTTGTCAAATAAAATGGCTTTTGATTTCATTATAACATAAATACATTTATTGTTTCTATTTGATCACTAAAAGCATGATTATTTAAGGTATGCTATGGTTTTGCTTTCCTTGTAACTACCTAAAAATTTTGGAGAATACCTATTAAAAATCTTACATTTTGAAATTTTAAATATCCAACAATCTGTTGGTTGATATATTTAAGATGTACACATTCTGACTACCCATTTAGTAGGCACTAATAGAGAAAAGAGAAAAGAAAATCTTCAGAATTTAAGTGTATTTTTTCTTTTGAGAAATATATAAATGCCAGAATGGTGTAAGTTGTAATAGACCTTGGCAGATTAATTCCATTAATATGTGTGTGTGTGTACACACACAAAATACAGTCTACTGTTTTAGACTTGGAAATTAAGTGTAGAAAAAGATACCAGAATTAAACACTAGAGTTTTTTAAATAACCTGTTTAAATCTTAGTGAAATAAACTTTTTTAAAATGATGTGAAAGTACAAAATTTTTTATTTTATAAGATTAGAAATTAATTTTATATTTACATCAAGTTGCCCAATACCGTTGCGTAATAAGCTACTTCTTCAGCCTTGACTTCCAAAGGAGTTTCACCTTAAATGAATGTCATAACCCTGTTATGTCTTCCAGAAGGTAAAAAATACTTTCCATGAAAGTTTAACTTTCATTAACTTGTCTAAAATGACATGAAGATTAAGAAAAATATCGTTCCTCTTTATAAATAATTTAATTATAGTTTGATTAACAGTTTGATGTGTTATTAACATTGCATAAACTTTCACAGTTTCCCTTCTTTCATTTTGTAAGAGATTGTGGTATTAAATCTGGAGCAAATGCCATATTTTACTGATGTGCACTGCTGTCAGTTATACATATTATATTGTTAGTTTGGAAACTTGGCATTTGAAACTGTCATGAACCAAAGTTCCACATTAACTGAATTAATATTTTGAGTGTAAAGGCTGTTTCTTGTTTATACATTGGCACTTAAACCACCTTGATTTTTGAGATACTTTATAAGAGAAGCCATCTATGTTTTGCCCACTTTAATGGCCATAGTTCCATCATGACTTCATGGTTTTTTATTATTTTTTAATTTTTTTTACCTTGTTAGTTAGGAAGTGGTAGGAAGGATATGATTATGTTCCTTCACTCT